ATTGGTGATGCCTGATTTACTTTCTCCGACAACTTTGTCCTCTTGATCAACATCTTGATCGTTTCCTTCTGGCGCTTGCGCTGGTCAACGTTGCCCCACCAGACTGGACGCTTGTACTCGCAGCTAAGGCCGAGATGCTTGCAGGCCTTGCAGAGCGGCTTTCCCTCGTCACACTTCTTGCGGCGAAGACGGCAGGTGAAGCATCCTATCCACCATGTCAGTAACCGAGCAATGTAGAAAGCTGATTGTGGAGTTAGTAAGTACCTGTCCGTGAGCGACGGTGAGTCTTTGTAGAAACTTTTGGTGCCTTTGGCTGCATTGTGGTGGATTGATTGAAGATTGTGGGAGGATATAGAAGTGGCAACCAAGCGGTCGAGTGTGTTGGATGTTCTGGAGAAGGAGTGGTGGAAGGAGCGGTGGTTGAGGTAGATAAATAAATTGTTGTAGATTTGTTGTGTGGGGGGGGTAAATGATTTATTCGACGTATATATACCGAGGATCGCAAGCGACTAGTCGGTTAGGTTATATGCGTGGAGTAGTAGTGCTGACCAAAACCATGTAGATGAGATGGATGAGGAGGTGTGGGTGAAAGATCGGATGAGCCGTTTGATTATTGATTGACTGAATGGACAATGCTACTGAGCTGCTTTCTGCTTTCTGACTGCTGCTGTTGAGAGTGTGGAGGTGAGAATTATCTGGAGCGGACGACGAAGGTTATGTATGCACGAACTCTCGCGCAGCAACTCAGTGTGACCACCCTGGTTGGTTGGCAGGGGGGGGTAGGTCTCGCCCGCTCACACCCCTGACGCTGAGAATCAATCACCAGCACGCTCCAGCCAATGTTTCTCTCTCTCGCAGTGCAGCATTGAGCGGGGGGGATAGGTATTTTTTTTGTTTTTTTTTTGGCAACCTATATCTCATCACATCAAACGTTGCCGCCCAAAAAAGATTTGGCCAGTCCTAATCAGGACCCGCAGAGCCTGCATGGCTCCAAATCAGCCCGAGAAAAGAAAAAAAGTGAAAAAACATTAAATAAAGCTAATCCAGTAAGTGGACTGTACCGGGCAGCAAAGACATGCAGTACAGAAACGCTACTCTCCTCGACATGACAAAAAAAAGAAATAAAGTACGGTCCATGGATGATAGAGGTGTGGTGCAGTACGGTACTGGTGCATGGATGAGGAGGGAAAATAGAATAACCGACAAAATAGAGATGACTTGATTTGTTTTGGGACAACCATCCATCCAGATCGTTATCCGAAATGGATCCCTCATATTTTTAAAAATATAACTGTTGTCCCAATTAGGATGCCTACCTAAGAGTGTCTATGCTGTATGTACCACACCTGCAGCCTACAATTAGCAGCAGCAGTAGAAGCAGTGAGTGCTCAAAATGTATGTAGGTGTGTAGCATCCAACCAACCCAACCATAACCCATCCCATCTCTCACCACCACTACGACCCATCTCTCAATGAGTTACAGAACTGGCTAGCCCTTCTACTGGTAGAGTAGGTATTCAACTGCGCGCAAGTGGGTTTCCCGATGCGTGGATGAAGTCCTGGGTATGTGAGTGGTTGAATCTGTAAAGTAACCACAACCATGTCTCTTCTCCTCCGTCGACCTCTCCCCTCACTCCCCCTCACTCACGGCAATTTCGAGATTAGATCAAGCCATCCAGAAGCCTTTCCTCCTCCCCAAAGGCAAGAGAGCGAGAAAGGAAGAATGAGAAAAAAGCAAAATCCGCCGTGCACGTGGCAGCAGGTGCCAATCGTCCTTCGAATCACAGCGCCAGCTGCAGTTGTGCCCCATTTGGCCAAGGCATAATTGCCCCATATCTAAAGCAGAGGACCTATATCGAGTACATTTTTCTCTTACCCCCGATTGCTTTTTTCCTATTCTGTTTATATTTGTGAGCAAAAATAAGTCCATGCAGGTGACAGGGGTTCATCCTTACCCTACCTGCTACACTGTGCAGCAGGCAGGCAGGCAGCTTCCCTTTCCCTTCCCTTCGTGCAGCAGCTTCCGAGTGGGGTGGGTGGTGAATTGGTGGGTGATCTGCCTGCTAGACGGACGGGGGACAGGGTGCGTTTGGCTGCCGGACGTACGAGCGTGCAACTGCAGGCGAGGGCGTCCGAGTTTCTTAGTTTATTTTACTCTAATCGATATGATATGATATGATATCGCTAGAGCTACATAACTAGTTAGTTTACAGACAGGGAAGCAAAATAAGTGAAAGCCAGTGCCAGCGAGTGAGAACGAGAAGACCGACCGATCGACTCATAGCGGTCCTGTTCTAGGCCCTGCATAACCTAGGCCATATCCTCCTTTTTCCTTTTGTCGGTGGTAGGGTGGTAGTAGTTCAACTAGTTATTTCCTTCTCTCGCGAGATTTCCACCGAGGCCTCAAATTATGGTTGGTGGGATGTTTGGATGAGGATGGCTCGTTCGTCGCATCATTTCGCAATCTCACATCCACACACACTCACACAAATGTCCTGACTCCGTCCAGACCCTTCTACCTAGTAGCACGTAATAAGGGTCTCGGCTTGTTGTTCTTTTTTCTTTTCTTTTCATTTCGCATTGCTTGCATTTGGCTTGACACTCCCGAAGCGAATCCGATTTCCGCTTTGTTGATCTGATCCGATTTCCGCCGTGTGAGACAGGAAAAAGAAAAACGATTTGTGTGGTCGTCATAGAGCAGGAGGATGAACCTGTAGGGAGGGGTTGAATTGAGGGGGGGGGGGGTGAGGGGGCCCTGTAATTTGCATATGCCATGGCAGAGGCATGGCTAATTATCAGCCGCATTTATTATGGGTAGCGCCTAGAGGAAGAATAAGCAGAAGAATAGAAGCAACCGCGACCATGGTGTATGTAGGTACACCATGTACGTATGTATGTACGTTCAATTCCCGAGGACCGGTAGCTGGTGGCAGACACGAAACGACTACCGGTGTCTGGTTTTTCGGGAGGGGATTGGATTATGCTTTGTTGTTGCTTGAGTTTCGAAAGGGGGAGGAATTCAAAGAAGATGGTGGTAATTGGCCATATTCTGGGAAGTCTATTCGTGTACTACGTGGATACAGTACAGGTGTCAAAGAGATGTTAAAATTAATCTACGGTACGGTAGATACGTAGGAGATAGTACCACTACTACCTACTACTACTACTACCACTGCTATTATTGCTGCTACTACTACTGAGTGCATGTAATTAAGCCTTAACGGTGTTCCGTTTCCAGACGAAACGTTAAACCGTACTCGCTGTATGGAGATACATGTATACACGGGAAGGACCTCAGTTGCATCTAACTGGGTAAGGGGATATACTCTGGCCTGGGTGGTGGGTGGTGGGTGGTGGGGATGGGGGATGGGGGAATAAGCTGCAAGAGAAAATGTTCGTTACCAGGAAACAGTGAAACGGCGGCGAAGGGCTCAACTCAATTCTCGAAACATGCATCAGTCAAGAGAAAAGCGTACCTGACCAGACCCTCGATCGACTTCTATCCATGGACCACGCACCATTACCTCCTTGCCAGTCCAGGCAACCCTCCATTAAATTTTCCATTCATCCATCCATCCATCCTATGACGACTCCCGTCTTAGCGAACGAACCAAGATTCCTCGCTTGTGGACCACGCTCCGTCTGTGCGCCCGCCCACCCCCCCATGCCATGCGAGCAGAAGGGTGTGCCGCACGCAACGCAAAATAGCAACACACACCATACCAACCTACCCATCACGATGCCCATCGCCAAGAAACCCTGCATGCAGGTGTGTGGGTGGGACGGGAAAATCTCCCCATCAGGGAAAAAACCCAACAGTCGAGCGAGTGTGGCTATTTTTGCGAGCAGGACGAGTGATCGACATATGCCCTCACTCGATAAGGTGCATTTTTTGGTCCCACAGGCGGCTTGAGGTGAGTGATGAAGCTAATTATTCCCAACATAGGTGTCATACATGTCCTATATTAAAACTAATTGACCCCTAAATTTACCCCGCTTCGCACCCCCTCCCCAACCCCAATCTGGCCAACCACCTGCAAGCCAACCAAATATACCGACATAATTTACTTCACCTGGAACCTCCCTGAATCAGTAGGTGCCTAATTTTACAACATAACAGATCACCACATATGGCGTATTATGCGGGATTAACACACCATAACATCTATTTTTAGTCTCATCACATTTCCTATTCGCACTCATTTTACTACTCTCCCCAGGTGCCTATCTACCTAATTAACTCGCAACTGCTATTTCGGTCCCCCAAAGAGGGGTAGGCAACATGTGCAACTAATAACTCTGTTTTAAGCTACATCGGCCCGGATGACATGCAGCAACGCAATCTGACCCTTGCCCTCAAACATGTTTCTCAGGAGCCTCATGCTAATTTTACTAATTTGGTGAAATTAGCAACAATACCTATTGACGACGGGCGCTAACCCAGCATGGGGGCGCAGAACTACTTAACGGAGGGCCAGAAGCTCATTTTGTCGGATTTTGGACTTTTTTTTTCTTCACCGATGGGTCTCACTTTTGCACCCGGACTTTGACCGCTTTGCTGTGGTTTGCGGGGGGTGGTGAAGTCAAAGTCTAATATATTGGAGATGGGGACTAACTTAACCTGAGGTGGAGATATTGTGGCACCCATCGTGAGGTTCTGCGTGGTGGATTAACTGAATGTAGCTCTAGATCTCCTAGGACCGGAACGGAAACGTTTCGTTTTATATGATATTGGCAGTACGTACGGAATAACTAGCAGGAGGGCAGTCAATGGAATCCAGGAATGGATAATTAATATCCGTGGGATAGAGCAGAAAGAACTAGACCTCGAGGAAACGATACTGTTATTATTCGATACCTAAACTCTAGATTTTTTTTTCCCACGAGGAACTCAATTTCACCATGCGTACCTCCACCACGGTACCAGACCCAATTCCACGAGAAAGGCTCTTTTCTGCAGCCACAACTCCCGGCACCTCAGCTACGGTATTACCACCACCATGCGCACCACTAGCGCCCCAAAAACGCTACCGGACTGGAGACAACACGATACAGCAACAGTAACCGAAAAAAAAAACTTCACAAAAAAGCTACTGCAGGTACATCCTGAAAAGAAAGAAAAAATAGGTTGACAGCAATTACCACGTCCCGCGAACTGGCTCAACCGAGTGAGATAACGTGTCCCACCTAGTGGTAGTTTACTAGTAGTAGCACCCTTCCCTTCCTTCCTTCCCTCCCGCCCGTGCAAGCAATTTCAAGGTCGTCATTTCGGCCCGGCGAACGGACCCTGAGCTAAACCTTATGTGACTCTAAGCGTTACCGTGGTAGGACTAGTGCGTGCTAGTGCCCGCCGGCACGCAACGCAACGCGGCGGACGCAGGTTAGTGATCCCTAGTGTGGTAGCTATGATTTGCGGTGGACGTGGGGGCTTTTTGATGATGATGGACAGAAGTGGGGGAGAGAGGACGCACTGCAGTGGATACCAGGAGGAGGGCACTGGGAGGAAGGGAAGAAGGACTGCAGGAATGGGGTTTGGATGCATTTGGGAATGGAGAGACGAGGGATTGGGGGCGGATACTACCAGCAGGGGACAGAAAGGCGGGGGTTGGATTGGACGGGCGGACAGGCGGACAGGCGGACGCTGTCCAGGATCCGGATTGGAATGACAGAATGGATTCGCTTGACCTCGCTGTTCATCACAGCGAGTAAGCGATTGAAACAACTCGAAACAATGACTAGCGAATACGAAAATCAACACTCCAGGACCAGGACTAACACCTATCCTCTTGGCGCACCTAGTAGCACATATCATATGGCTTTTCAAAACAAAACAAAATTGTGGACTAGGACTTGCAAAACGAAACGAAACGGAACAAGATGACTCGGACCGCTATTTGATATTGTTTCGTTGTTTCATGAGTGAGGCTCTCAGACATTGACTGGCTTGACATCTGCGAGTCTAGAGGGGCCTAGTACATGTGCACATCCTTTTTGTGGGGGCCTGGAACGTGATGCCATGTGTCGATCTATTTTGGAATTTCTGACATTTGACAGCTGAAGGAAAATGACTGGTCTTCTGGAAAATGGAGAGATAATTGCGTGCGAGTGCATATGCTATCTTTGGCAATCAAGGACTAAAGATTAAGGAATTAAGGAAATAAGAAATTAAAGAACTGGCGAACTCGGCGATCAAATAATAACTGACTGAACTGGTCCTGGTCTGCGCAGCTGCTGATTTATGCATCTATTCAACCGATAACTTATGGAATCGACAGATAACTGATGGAATCGACAGATAACTGATGGAATCGACAGATAACTGATGGAATCGACAGATAACTGATGAGAATTGACAAACTAATTAATAGACTACAGACTGAATAATTACTAACTATTTACCTGATGGAAAGTCTAACAGACCGACTGAAGCTTGATTATCAGATGAACTACTCTAATACTTACAAAGCTCCGAAAAGATTCTTGAGGAGGATGGCAAGATTTCAAAAACTGACTGCCACTCATAATTGCCTGAGGACATAACCTATGATCTGCATGGAATCACTGATGTCAACCAGGCAATCAGGCACCAATCCAGGAACCGACAAGGCCGTCAATCACGTACAGCCCTCAGTACCATGGAAAAACGCCAGCAGCATGTACCCAAGAACCGGAGTATTAATTCCTCTACTATCACGTACCCAGGTAACAGTCTAGAACCAGATATCATATCGCACCCAAACTATAGCCTAGAACCTTTCACATGTCTGATTCATCACAACTTTATTCTCCTTTTCTCGGTTCAGCTAGATAATTACTTTAATTAGCCCCAGTGCCCATCCTCATCCCGGAGTATTAATTCACCCCTCCCTTCTTCCCCCTCTTTCTCCTCCGCTATTACCCACCGCACCGCATAGCACCGCACCCCACCGCCCGCTCTAGAGCGGGAGCCGAGCTGCCAACCTTAACCCCTCGATCGAATCCTGATCCCCGGTCAGTACTGTCTCTCGTTCCTGAAAGCCCAGACCTTGGGCTACGGAGTATTAATTGTTGTCTGTTTGTTGTCTCCTTTGTTTCTTTGCTTTTTCTGCCCTAGTCAGTAACGGCGCGGCGTCTAGGAGGTCTAGGTGCGAGGCGGCGGCTATTTTTGTGTGCGGTCAATTGGTGAGTAAGGGGAAGGGACGGGTTTGGGTGGATATAGGGGGAAAAGGGTTTTCGAGAAGGTGCAATTGCTCCGGTAGATCTTGGTTGATTGTGGTGATGATGGGAGAGTCTTGTTGTTGTAGTTGTAATTATTGCCTGTTGAAGATACTGGTGATAGTTGATCTTGAGGTTGACGCCGCACACACGTAGTGTGGAGTACATACAACACCTAATTAATTACTAGCTAGCTAGCTAGCTAGGGTTATGAGTGTCAAGGTCACAGAGTGGTAATGTTTACATAAGAAACTCGATGTATGCATATGGCTTGAGCCTGAGTTTGTGGGACAATGCGATATGTAATTAGTACATAACACGATAAACGTGAAGATCCCACCGATTCCACTAGATAGAAGTGATCATTTCATTTCAATTCCGCGTGCGACGTTTCGTTTCGTACTGCGTATTTCAGCACGCAGGGGGTGAGCGGTCTGATATGATATGTTTGGTGTTCCTCAGTCAACAGTTTTCCTACATGTCACTATTTCGTGAAGCGAGAAACAAATCTCGTGTAAACATGGGACACACACACACACACACACACACACACACACACACACAACACACACACACATATACAACACACCCACACACACAAATTTCGGGCTGTGCAGGCTGGTGATATTCAGGCACGTGGCTGAATTGGAATTCCCTTCAGAGTACCGGTCCGACGTCCCGCATTGGATTGGGAGATCGGGCTCCCCCGAATTGCTTGATAGGGAGAAGAAGAAGAAGGGGAAGGGGAATTCGCCTCTATGTAGGTACATACCTACAGGAAGCCCTGCCTATATCAATGGAAGTTATAGTTATCAGCTGCTAATCTAAGGTACAATTCATACGGTGCGTGCTATTTCATCAGCCCTGTCTGAATTGACGAAGATCAGGGGGGGGGGCCCTGTTGGCTATCCAGATTTGAAGCAGCGCACATCACCACTCAAAAGTCTGGACACGATCAAGCCCATAATCGCGTAAAGCACCCCTCCAAAAAACAAAAACCACAAAAGGGCCATGCTCATTCATGTCAGGAACAAGTCTGGAGTGCCTTGGCACCGGATATCACATCAAAAACCCCCCGGCCCCGTTTCGTCACGTCAACTTCTTTTCTCTCCGACTTTCCTGCAGAAATTCGAAAAGAGGCCTAGAACTCTTGGGCAATGTGCTGTCAAACTTCCCACCCCCGGCCCCGAAGGCTGTAGACTCGGCATGAACTCGGTAATGAAAAGAAATAAAACTGTCAAGGCTCTATAATTGGTGACTCTCGATGGTGTTGTTGGCAAGTTCTCCACACAGACTCACACAACTCACGCAACCACATCGACACCAAGACCTACGCCTTTCCCCCTATGTAGTGTCTCGAGAATGCAAAATAGATTCACTGCGAACGACGAAGCTTTTCGCAAGAGGACTGCCGGCGCACACATCCTTGTTCCTGCATTAGCTCTTGCAGCTCGGTTCAGTCACGGGATGGTGATTGATCTCCAACGTAATAGGTCAGCCAGCGGTCAGCCAGAGAGAGAACGGCCGCAAAGCTTTCCGGCTTGTCCCTTTGTTTATTTAGTTGTTTGGTCTCGGCCATGACTGGAAGGAAGGATATGACCCGTATACGTATCGACCGATGCGAAAAATAGTTCCCCCCTCCATCTCCCATTCTTCTTGATAAATTTGGTCCGTTGATCGGCAGGCGGAAATTGTTCCAAAGTCCAGGCCCTGCCCTGCCCTGCCTACTCTATTCTACAAGCCAAACCAACCAACTGAACTCTCGAGAGAGCGATCAGTGGAGTGACAGGTACAAGTTCATGCCAGGAACACATAGGTTGAAAGAGTTTCCTTCAAGGGACCGGGCCGTTACATGTTGGGGCCGTGCTGTGCCACAGCTGCGATCCTATTTGAGAATGCGATCATGAGCGACTTTCCCCTGAGGAAATTAGAAAATAAATTCATTTAAAGTAGTAAGCTTAGGCCTGATTGCTTTATTTTCTCCCCACCACCCAGTTCCGTTCATCGGTTCGCCTCAGTCAATTAGCCGGCAATGCATGTAGTTCCTATGTAGGTAGATAGGTTGATAGAGTATGTACCCCAGGCTTCCTATCGTAATCTCGCTGCAAGGTACACTTGTAGTATGTCCAATATCTCGATGACGAGGCTTTCATCGGATAGGACAGCCCGGTAGTGGAAGGAGGGGGAATCAAAAAAGGACGAGTCCAGCTATCGATATTTCAAAAACCAGATTTGATGGCGGCGGTGAGGGGAGGCCCAGCATCATATTCCAAAGACTGAACCAAGCTGGGGGGAGGGGGTAAAATTTTATCAGGTCACAAGCACGCATTATCATAATCGATAGATACGCCACCCAGCTGGCTGATCTTGTTCCATATGAGTCCACCATTTCTCCCCTCCTGGATATGTAGGCATGTAGGCAGGTACATGTATGTAGTTGGTACGACGCCGCGAAATTCCTCGCGTAAGTCCATGCTATGAGGGGGGGGGGGTTGTACATGCCCCGTACGGTGAACAATGAGTGGGGCGTAAGCGAAAATCCAAGTCTAGAAACCGTGATTCAGCTTGTAGGCTCTTGTCACGAGCACAAGGTTTTTTTTTAAAGAAAAGATTTTTCAGGCGGGGATTTTCTCGATCTCGGTTTGCTCCCCGCTCGCTGTCAATGGATTTTTTTGCGCAGCTAATTACAATTCTTTCGGTCGGTGAAAGGTCGTTTTACTACCGAGGGACAGAGTGAGGTTTATTGGATGGCGATTGTTCTTCGTCTTTGGGGCTAATCCAACTAATTCTTGGCAACTCAACCACTAAAGCTGATGGCCTGAACAGGCTAGAAACACGACAATGTCAGGTGACTGTGAATCGAATCATGATATATCACTCTGAATCAGAGTTGAAGACTCACATGAGTACTGCCTAGTCGCTGCTGTGCTATTCTCATAACAGGCGTGCAAATAGTTGGACTAATACGTGAAAGCTGTGTGCAGTAAGCCTGCGCCTATCCTGGATGACTAGGTCCATGGAACAAAACCAATTAAAGTCTCTATAGATGAGTGAGCTCGAGGGGAATAACGATGATGATGTCGACGGTGGTGTTGATGGTGACGATGGAGTAAAGGTACAAAGGCACGGGATATCTAGCCTTGGCGAGTGTAACACGTCGTATTTTCGCAATTCCCCGAAAGTTTAAAATGTGTCCTTACACACGTTACTCAATGCCACACCATGAACGTGGCGGTACAGTATCAACTTCACGATGATATTATTACAAGTGCGCATATGGGAAGGCTCAATTCAATAGATCCGCTACAACGAAAAATAAAATAAGAAAATAAAGAGATTGATCATGCAACCAACTCGCCAGGACCTATCACCAGCTGGAGATGCCACGGAGGGACACAATGTAATGATCGTTTTTGTCCCCGCAACTGATAATTCCGCAACCCAATTCCCTTCTCAATATCTTACGTGTGTAACATGATATAAAAATATCCTATCATGACTCTGGCCTTATATTG